GGAGGCTAATCACATGTTGTCTTTTTCAAAGCCAATTTTAACCTTCCGAAGGCTTCCCTCATGCCAACTTTTTAAATGGCAGAGTTTGCAGCTTGTCTTTTACTCCCCAGGTCAAATCATGTCTCCGTCATTTCTCTTTGCTTCCTGCATACAACTGCAATCAAGTACCGAAAAGACGTCCCTACGTAAAAACCCTTTTACCAGAAAATCCGTTAGTGCTCGGCATTTCCACCGACATATGCTTCCTAGCGAACGGATTCTCAGGCGGATAGGCAAATCAAAATCTGGATCAGAGTCTTTGAAATCAATGGGGAGGCTGATCTAACTTTGGCTTATCCAAATCCATTATTAAACGTCAGAAGGCTTCCCTCTTGCCACCTTCTGAAATGTCATATTTCGCATTTTGACTTCCCCTCCCCATGTCAAATTAAGTCACCGTCATTTCTCTTTGCGTCCTGCATACAACTGCAAGCCGGTACCGAAAGGAAATCCCAACTTACAAATCCCTTTCGCTGCCCTGCATTTTAGGCAATGGTGATAACTCGGGAAGTGTAACCCCAGGTAGGTCCATCGTTGACAGAATACAGCAGCAAATTGTTTATCAGCGTACCTGCACAGCAACCGCACAAAATGCACTTAAACGTCCACTTACGCTGATTTTTTCCTAAATTGCTAGCATGGGGCGTTGCCAATTTCATTAGGTGGCCATCCGTTGCGGACACAAATCGAATCTGGTGCTTATGTTACACCCTTTTGATAGTTATAGCATCTTTACACCTGATACATTTTGCCGTTACACTGCCAATATGCTCCAAAGCGTAGACGTATAACGCTGATGATATTCATTTTGCCGGTAGAGTTCAATTCCGAAACATTCACTTACACTTGACATTTCCACGGACATATACTTCATAGCGAATGGCTCTCATGCGGATGGGCAATTCCCAAGGGATGCGATGACTTTGAGTTTTGGCGACGCAGATCACAGGCTAGCTTACGCTGAGACAACTCTTACCATCAGAAGGCCTTTTTTGACGCCACCATCTGTAATGACACACTTCACAGCTTGCCTTCCGCTACCTTGGTCTAATTAAGCCACCATCATTTCTCTTTGCACTCTGCGTACAACTGCAAGCAGGATGCAAATGGTCGTCCCAGCTTTAAAATCCTTTTCACTGCCCTGCATTTTAGATATTGGCGATAACTCGGGAACTACAACACCAGGTAGGTCCACGTTGACAGAATAAAGCAGCAAATTTCTTAGCGCTGTAGCAGTACAGCAACTGCAGAAAATGCATTTAAACGTCCACTGACGCCCTTCCTTTGCCAAATCGCTATCCTGAGGCATTGCTAATTTCATCGAGTAAGCAGAGTATGCACAATAGCCATCCGTTGCAGGGATAACTCTAATCTAAGGCTGGAGCCTCATTCTGCCGTTGGTTAGGACATCTATGCACTGGATGTAGTTTACCACCCAATTCCCAATGAGCAGCAATGCGGAGATATACATAAGTGATGAGTTTGACAGGGATATTTGGAAATCATTACCGAAACGTCATTTTTGCACGGCATTTCCACCCACATATACTTCAGGGTAAATAGCTTCTCAGGTGGATGCTCAGTCCCCTAATGAATCAACGTCTTTGAATTCTATGGGGAGGCAATTCACATGCTGGCTTATACAAAGAAAATGTTAACCATCAGAAGGTGTCACTTGGCGCATTTCGCAGCTTTTCATCGAAATAAAATATCTCAGTAAATAGCCGTCATTTGCTCTTTGCATCCTGCGTACATCTGCCAGCAAGAATAAATGTATTACCCCGTGTTAGATATGCCTTTTGCTGCCCGTAATTTCGGCAAACTTTATTAAATTCGATGTTGTTTGAGTTTTCAAGGAGCTAATTTTTTTAATTAATGTTATCTGTTTGTTTCTCTGCGCTTCTTTTGTCTCTCTTCATGAAATCGGAAGTTATCGTCTCTAATTTGTCTGTTTTCCTGACTCTTTCGACAGATCTCTCTGCCTGTAGTAACTTTTATATACTAGACATGCTTAATTGTCTTATTCTAGGTCTTCCTGTACCACCTTGTCCGCCGTGCCCTTGCCCAACCACTCCTGCGCCATGTCCATGCCCCTGTCAAACTCCGAAACCGCCGTGTCCATGTCACACCACGCCAGCCCCATGCCCGTGTCACACCCCGAAACCGCCGTGTCCATGTCACACCACGAAACCGCCGTGTCCATGTATGAC